AGGAGTTACAGATGTGACATGGAGGGTAGATGGTCCGGACAGTGATTCAACCAGAGACTTCCTTCCTTGTATCCACAGTGGTTCCTGGGCTTTGCCATCTTTCTTCTGCCCTGGGCATCTCAGTGGCTGCGAAGCCTCCTGAAACCTGTGCACGTCTTCTTTGGAGCCTGCATCCTTTCCCTATCCATCACATCTGTTATTTCTGGCATCAATGAGAAGCTTTTCTTTGTTTTGTAAGTTCTAAGGGGCCTCTAAACTAGGGCACATGGGAGGGAGTAGAGGCTTCAGGAGATGCATCCTGTAATCATGGGCTCTGGGCTTGAGTCCATTCTGGAAAGGTAGCAATACTTACTGAGCATTAAGTGACACAGCACCTACTGTTTGTCAGGAACTCGCTAAGCTCTCCACCTTTGTCACCTACAACATTGAGCTAGGCAAGGTGGTGCCTGCCTTTAATCCTAGCACTACAGGCAGGCAGATCTCTGTGAGTTCAAGGTCAGCTTGGTCTTCTTAGTGAGTTCAAGTCAGGCATGTCTCCATTGTGAAACCTTGTTAAAGAAGTGTGTAGTGAGGCACGAAGTAACTTACAGCCAGTAAATGGCAGAAGTAGGAATTGAGTTAGGTACTCTGCCTTCAGAGCCCGTATAACCAACCATTGTGGTCCTGGGTTTCGAGGCAGTATAGTAAAGTGAACAGCAAATGAGATTGGAAATGGGCCCTGGGGTTTAGATCTTGGTTGTGCTATGTACTAGTTATACAAATGTGGGCAAGTTCATTTCACTAGGATCTTTGTTTCCTCACAGGTAAAGCATTGCGAAGTTCCTGCCTGTCACTGTGGTAGAACTTAGGCAGTATGTTAATTCCAGGTCATAGGGGAATAAGAGTTAGAAACTCTCTCAAAAGCCCTGTATTTTGTCATTTTCAGGAAAAATGCAACCAAGCCCTACTCCAGCCTGCCTGGTGAGGCAGTCTTTGCCAACAGTACTGGAATCTTGGTGGTGACTTTTGGCCTACTGGTTCTCTATATTCTTCTGGCTTCACCATGGAAGCGTCCAGATCCAGGCACTCTGACTGACAGACAGGTATGGCTACTGGTTCCCATTGTAGGTGGGGTAAGGCCAGGTCTAGGGAAGGACCCAGGAAGGCTTTGCACCTCACTGAGAAGATTGACCCTCTTTGCCAGGAGGAAAGCCAAGCCGCTTGAAGGTGGAGATTGAGTGGCAGGTGGGGATTCTGGCAGCAGAGCAGCCAGGCCTGCAATGACTTCCCAAGTTCCCCTCCCCTGTAGGAGTCCCTGGGTTTGTGAAGTGACTCGCGAAGGGCTTGAGCCTGGTGACCTTCTGCCAGCTCTGAGGCTAGTCTAGTCAAACACATCAGGTGCTGAAAGCCAGTCTTGCCTGTTCTTGGCCACTGAGGCTCTGGCAGATGTGGGAAGATGTGCTATGAACCAGTCTCAGGGACTCTGGGCTTCCCTGAAAGATCTGGTGGCTTGGCTGGGCTCACCCTGCAGGGTGAGGGTCTATCTGAGGCAGCTCCAGCCTGGTGTGCGTCCTGAAGCTCAGGGACCCTTTCAAGGTCATGGCTTTAATCCCTGTGCTTCTTCCTTCTTTCCAGCCCCTGTTGCACGACAGGGAGTGAAGCGGGCAGGGGCTCGCGGGAACAGTCGGAGGTGCAGTCTCTGCTCTCTCAGAAGCTCTTCTGTACTTGGGGCTCCTGGTTGGTTTCAGCAACAGACCTCTCTTGGGCCAGAGACCAAATTTACTACTCCAGTTCCCAGCCCGCTCTTACCAGCTGCTTCATGTCCATCTGCTTTTCTTGATGGCTTTGACTTGTTGGCATTTTTTCAAGGGCCTTGGTCATTCATGTCTCTTCTGCTGGTCTTTAGAATTTGGGCTGCTTTCTCCTCACTATTCCTTGGGCTGTGGTAGAAGCTAAGGCTCAAATGTAGTCCATACATGCTCTCTGTGGGAGCAGTTTTGTGGTTAGGCAGGCTTCTGCTCTGCCCTGATGTGCATTTGGGAGGGCTGAGATGTGGGAGGTAACTAACGGGACGGTAGCAGCAGGAGAGGCTTTGTAGTAGCCAGGTGCTAGTCACTCTGAACTGCTCTGTTCACTTTGATGTGCTGTGGTGTGTGTGTTGTGACCATGTGGCTCCCCCTCTTCTAGTTGCTGCTTCAGCTGCTGCCTGGATCCCGCCCTTTCCCTGTGACTTACATGCCTGCCCCCCTCAGGCAACCCTATGAGCCCTGGTAAACTGTTCTCCCCTGAACAGACAGCCTGACCTTAGAGTCTTAAGTGATGAGTAACAGAGGTTTGTGGGCATGGGCTTTCCTGCCTCCTCTAGTCACGCTCTTCCCTGACACGGCCCAGCCCACTATGAAATTGAGGCCAGCATTATGAAGCAATTTGCTGGGCAGAGTCCTGGTAGCCACTCCTGCCTTTAAAGGTGTTCCTGATTGAATACTGGGTGCTTTTGCCTCCCCCCACCCAAGGCCATCAAGCCTTCCTCCGTAGAACGCCAGAATGTGAGCTTTGCTCTTCTCCTGGATAGAAACTGGGGAAGAGGGAGGAGTCCTGCCCCTCTAGTTTGAATTGGCCTGTGGCACTTCATACTTCCTCAGATAAGCCCTGCCAGGTCCCAGCTGCAAACTGCTGTACTTAACAGACAATAGGAGGAGTTGGGGGTTCCTGCACTGCTGCAGTTAGTGATCAGGCTGAACTTCAACCCCGCTGCCAGAAGTGGGCAGGAGGGCTGGCATGAACTTGCTGACCAGATGAAGCCTGCACACCATTGCTATTACTGCTGAGCACCTTGACCGAGACCAGCTCCCCTGGTTTACTCACGAGTGGGTATTCTATTTCTTCATGAATCTGATTTTTATTAAATGTGTTTTTAAACTTTGAAGGTGTTTTCTTTTGTCCAGACTGGGTAGTTTAAAAAAAAACGGCAGGGCAATGGTGGCACAAGCCTTTAATCCCAGCACTCGGGAAGCAGAGGCAGGCGAATCTCTATGAGTTCAAGGCCAGCCTGGTCTACAAGAGCTAGTTCCAGGACAGGCTTCAAAGCTACAGAGAAACCCTGTCTCAAAAAAAACAACCAACCAACCAACCAACCAACCAAATAAAAAAAGGTACCTGTCATTCAGAAGGCCCGTCCTTACCCCTGATCACTTACAAAGGCCTCTATTTTTGAGACTGGATCTCACTATGGAGCCCTGGCTTGCAGCATGAATTCTAATTGGTTTTAATAATAAAGATCTGGAGTCAGCTATCGAGTGAAAGCTGGAAGATCAGAGAAGCAGAGCAGCCAGCCACTAATTCTTACCTCTATCTCAAACTGAAATGGCGATCCCTGTCTCTATGCATCCTTAGACTGAATGCACTCTCTACAAAACGTCAGACTAAATCTGAGTTCCTGTCTCCCCCTGCTATATTCCTCTTTCCACCCAGCCATATCACTCCTGTCTCTGCCTCCCTAGTGCTGGGATTAAAGGCATATGAAGTCAAATGCTGGGATCACCTTTGTGTGAGCTGTTTCTCTTTTAGCTGATTGAATCAGCCTTGGGTGGCCTTGAACTCACAGAGATCCATTTGCCTCTGTGCTGAGGGCTGAGATTAAAGGTGTGTGCCACCACTGCCTGGCCTTTATGATTAACTGTGGCTTAGCTCTGCTCTCTGATCCTCAGGCAAACTTTGTTAGATTACAAACGAAATACCACTACACTGGCTGGCCTGGAACTAGCTATGTAGGCCAAGCTGGCCTCAAACTCACAGAGATCAGCCTTCCTCTGCCTCCAGAGTGCTAGGACTAAAGGGTTGCTACCAGGCTGGGTTCAAGGCCCCACCTCTTAATCCCATCACATTAGAAATAAAGTTTCAAACATAGGAGTTCTGTTGAAACACAGAAGCCTTTGCTGGTGCGGCAATGTATTCAACTGAGAGTTTTGGCAATTTACAAAGGCCTCAGGACAGGCTTGACCCTTACAGATATAAGAAGGGCCAACCAGAGATTCATGATTGTATTTCTGGAATGCATGTTACTTAAATTTGGGTGGGTGTCCTTCATAATGAATGGCTTTAGGGTATATACTCCTAATGAAAGGAGTGTTCCCTGCCTTAAAGTCTGGAAAACGAGATTCAAAAAGGAGTGGAGGTGGACAGGCAAGAAGAATGATCTACTGTCACTCTGCTGGGTGATGGCAGAGTTGGGACCCACAAGTCCTCTCTGCCGGGTACATATATCTGTGCATGCTGATAACCAGCTTTGTTGCCAGGGACTTCTGATGGAGCAGGCTGACAGAAGACCCTAGGCCCAGAGGGTCTAATCTGAGAACACAGATGATGGGGTCCCTTTCTTAGTGTGACTGTAGAGATGGTGACACAGGAGGGGCGTGTGCCTGACGCCAGTGCAGGCACTGGGGCTGGTATGACCTGTTCTTGTGACAGCGCTAGAACACCAGGCTGCCCAGGACCCTAATCCTCACCCGAGTCTTCACATCCTTATGGGATGGCTACCATTGCCATGTGCAGCCATGCTCATGCACAGCACGTGTGCAGGCCAGAAGACAACGTTATCTCCTGCCGCCTAATGGTATCTGGTGACCAAATTCAAGTTGTTTCGCCTTCAGGCTTCTACCCACTGAGCCATCTTGCTGGCCTGAGGTGGGTATCATTGAATTTTACAGATCTCAACTGGCCAAACATGGGCATGAGTTCCCATAGCTGACATAAAACAGAGCCAGACTTTCCATAGATATGACCTGCCAGTGCCTGGAATCACCTCTACGCTGAGGGTGTCGTGCCTGTGGTGAACTGCGTATGCTGTTGCAGGCGGCAGTCTTTCACCTGGTCGGGGTAGAGGCAATGACTGCTCTAGAGCAGTGGGTTGTGACCCTTTTGAAAAACCACTAACTCCAAAAATATTTAATTATGATAACAACAGCAAAATTAGAAAATAATTTACGGTTGGGGTCACTACAACATGAGGAACTGTAATTAAAGGGTCACAGCATTAAGAAGGTTGAGAACCATTGCTCTAGAGAGACCTTGGGGCTGGTATGACTGTAGCTTCTGAACTATTACAGAGCCTCAAACACAGTGAGTCCATTTTCTTCTGGGGAACCCAATGCCCATGTAATTTCTGAAGAATCAGTTGTAGATCTAGTACAGAGACAAGCCTTTGTGCCAATCTGGTGTGCATTGGTATGGTGTGTGCTGGGACAGGAAAGGGGAGTCCCTATGGAACCAGCCCAGCTGAGCAGAAATTGTCTGGAGCACAGCTGATGAACTGCTTGCCAAGAGATGGGTCATGGCCACGGTAACCAGGGCTGAAGTCCTAAAGATGATGGCAGCAGCTTGTGGCTTCAATGGGTTTTATTAGTTTTCTTTCACACACTGACTGGGTGTTAGAGGCCTTCCAGAGGATGAGGCCTGGAGTATTGAAATCAAATAGGTACACCCAGTTAGAGGCCATGTTGTACTCAGGAAAAGCCTTATCACTGACATTCAGAGCTGGATGGGGTGGGGAGAACATGACCTGAGGGACGCCTTTTCCTGAAGAGGAAGAGCAGTGTTGGCAGGGCATATGATCCACCCAGCCAGCCACTTACTGTTCACAGAACAGTTCTGGAGGGATGGCAGAGGATGGGTGCTAGGGTGAGTGAGGGATAAGGTGACCATCTGAAGGCAAGAGGAAGTAAACAGGGAGAGGAGCTGAGGAGGAAAAAGGCAATTATGCTCCCTGCGTCTGCAAGACTTCCAGGATGGCGCGGAAGATGGCGGCAACTGCCACTGCTCCAGGGTCTGGCTGATCTAGTCGCGCGGAGCTGATGTAACTAGCTCTTCCAGCGCCAGCTTCCATGTTCTTGGTGGCCTCAGCTGCTGCTTCAGCACTCTGAGGAAGGTGGGAGTAGGCTTAAGTACATGACAGTAGGCCTTTCCTTTCCCACTGGGCCCTGAAAATCTGATCTTGGACCCTTTGTCCTGTTCTGTCAGAAATCTCTGTACCATCGCTCAGTGGAAAGGTCACCTTTCATCTACTTCTAGCAAGGAATGGGGCCACTATTTGCAGAGCCTCAGCCCAGGTACTAGGCTAGGCTCAGTGTATCTCCCTAGCCATATAACACTTTCTGAGATAGGTTGTTCGCCCTTATTTTATACAGGTGGAAATCAAGGTGGAAAAGACCCTTTACTTGCTTTAGATTGGAGCTTGGCAGCTCCTTGGTTGTCCAGTCGAGCCTCACTCACCTTGACTGCTTTAGTCAGGACTGGGAGAAGACTGGCTCCTGGCTTCTTCCAGGCTTGCAGCTCCTGTCCTGCTGCCCACAGAGAATCCAGCTGGACAAGGTCAGAGAGAGGGAGATTGAGAAGAAGCCCTGCTACTGAGGATAGCTTTAGGGCTTGTAGGCTTAAAAGGGGCAAAGGGAGCCACACCCTGAGTACACACCATTGTCCTATCTCCTGGTGCAGCCTTTCCATACCTGAAAGAATGAACAAAGAGGTTACTTTGGTGTGAGGACAGGGTCTGGCTGGGAGCAGGTAGCAGCTGTCAACTACCTCCCCAACACACCCCTGGGGTTAAAAAACAGGGCTCTGGCTCACTTCTGTATGGCCTCCAGGCCGGCATCCATGGCAGCAGACCACGCTGGGAGATCAGTCTTGGCTTTGAGAGCCTGGGCAGCTGCAGTCAGGAACAGGCCATAGAGCTGAGGAGGACCAGAATGCTGAGTACATGGAGCTGGCCAGCACTCAGCCAAACCCGCATCCCTCTCCATCCGTCTGCCTTTCCAGAGCCTGCTTCTACTCACTGCGCCAGATGAGCCTCCCATCTTCTCCAGCAGCAGGACAGACAGCTTGGAGAGCACCTGGGTAGGGCTAGCTAGAGCTGGGCCCTCCTTTACCCAGCCCTGGATGGCTGCATGCAGAAAGACAGGTGGCCCTTCAGAGGTGCTGTCACTTCCTTTTCTCTCCCTGGTCTCTGCTAGTGTTTTCCTGATTGGTCTTCTTTACTGAGAGATGTGCTTTCTGCCTTTCCTTTTTCTCTTCTCTTTCCCATTACTCTTGGTTGACCTGGAAATCCTCATGAGCCACCATTGCGTGACTCTGCATTTTTGTAACCATGGAGACAGGAATAGTGCTTGGCTTCCTTAAATGGTGCTGAATGCACCTACCTACCTTCCTACCTACCTTCTGTATCTGTCTGTCTATGTTATCTATCTATCTATCTATCTATCTATCTATCTATCTATCGTTTTTTTGAGATAGGGTTTTCTGTGTAGCCCTGGCTGTCCTGGAACTCACTCTGTAGACCAGAATGGTCTCGAACTCAGATCTGCCTGCCCCTGCCTCCAGAGTGCTGGAATTAAAGGCACACATCACCACTGCCAAGCTGAATGCATCTTTCTTAAATGGCTGAAGAAGGGCTTTTGGTGATGTGGGCATCTGAGAATGCTGAGGGCAGCAGAACAGATCACTTTCCCATTTGTAGTATGGGAAACTCCTTTCTTTTGGGAAAACAAGCTGCGAGGTGCCAAATGCCCCTTGGTAAAGGAAGGTAGCAGCTCCATGAAAGCCCCTTAATGTTCTAGAAACTAACTCATGGAATGTCCAGTAAGAGATAGTATGCCACATATTAGCCCCTGAGCATCCCATAGAGGCCAACCTTTGGCAGCACGGCTATGGGTAATGCCACAATCCCCGTCACCAGCAGCCCTGTCCAGGGCATTCAGGTGCTCCTCCAGTCCGATCAGGGTGGTGCACACCCGCTCCAGCACAAGCGTCATCTGCTTTGCTGCTCCACCTAGAAAGGGAGGGCAGGATGCAGAGGCCTCGCTGGACCTTCTCACAGCCAAACCTGACCAGTGTGAGAGGTATGGGTACCGAGGTCCCGATATACCCTTTGGTGCTCAAGCCAAAGTCCTGACCACAAGGACTCTTGGCTCTCCATCAGCAGGGCCCAGTACCTCCTGCTGCAGTGGCCTCAGGGGCCTCTGGAGGCTCTGTGGGAGCTTCTCGGATCCGCTTCCGCCCAGTCACAGACATCTTGGCCATGTGAGGCCAGGCTGTTGCAGTAGTTTCAGCATCTAGAGGCAGCCACATAACTTGTTCAGACAAGATCAGGTAGGGGCTGGACTTCCTACCTGGCCCTGAAGACTGGTTCCCTCAGCTGTCTGTAAGAAGGTAGCCTAAATCAGTAAGACTATACCGAGTATCTGTTGCATACTGAGTGTAGGGGGGTGGGCATTTCCTGGGGAGAGTGTAAGGCAGATGTGAGGAAGACACCAATACCAAATTTACGGAGTTGAGTGAGAGGTGAAGGCAAAAAGCCAGAAAGAGCATCTTTACAGGTCTAGAACCAGACTGTCAGCATCGGCCCTAATGTGGTCTCTATGCTAGAGCCTGAGGATGAATGATGGTTCTTTCTAGCAATGTCTGTAGGCTCCAGATCTCTCTTACCTATCAGCTTCAGCAGGGGGTCATCCACAAGCAGCAGGGTAAGGGAAACACCAGACATCTCTAGTGCTGACATGAAGGTACCCACCAGGGCACGGGCGACCTTCACCCCACGGCCCTCTGCAATGCCAAGCACAGAAGCCTGTAAGTGGGAAAGGGAACTACCACAGAGCATCTTAAAAAGGAACCAAACAGCAAAACAAGGGCCTTGCAGGTCGAGGCTTGTGATGAGCAGGGAAATGACCTCATTTCCCCAAAGCATCCCTCAGTGACAGCCCACTACCACATTCCTTGGAGATAGCCCTCCGGAGGGACTGATAAATAACAGTTCTCATTTACTGAGTTCTTAGCAGGCACCAGACATCCTACATATACTTAGTCTCATTTAATCCTCATAACCCTCCTATACAGCAGGTGTTGCTATTATTACTCCCACACTCAGAACCTCAGCAGTTGGCAAAAGTAACAATTTAACTCAAGCTCGTGATTGCTCAGTTGATGTTCTGGGCCATGATAGGACACTGCCTCAGCTGCTTATCTTACACCTAGGTTCAAACCAGGTTCAAAGAGTTAAGGGAGCCAGGCATGGTGACAGAAGCAGGAGGATATCTGTGAGTTTAAGGCCAGTCTGGTCTACACAGTGAGTTCAGGCCAGCCAGGGCTACCTAGTGAGACACTGTTTCAAAAATCAAAACAAAACAAAATTTAAAAAAAAAAAAAGGCTACAGGTCCTCTTGTAGTGTGGGCTCACCCAGCAAGCGTATGGCAGCATCAGCTATGATGCCCAGTTCCAGGAAAGACAGGCCACCCAGATTGTTGACTATCAGCACCACTGAAGAGCCTGTGGACAATTGATGACACCTCAGTAAGACTTTTGGTGGCCTGTGCAGAGGGGCAGGAGGGGCTCGAGACTGGGGACTGAAGGCTACTCACCTGACTGTACAGGCACATGGGATACATTGGAGGTGTTTGTCATGTGGTCAAGCATGAGAGTGACAATCTTTTCAGCAGGTGCCATCTGTCAGAAGAAGCAGGAGTGAGTGTTTCTGGGAGACCTCAGGACTGGGCTGGGCTGAGCAAGGAATCTATTTACCTTTATTCGCTGAACACCAGCTTCCCCATGGATCCCTGTGGAGAGATGTGGCCGTTACTGGCTGGCTAGATGCTTTCATCAATGACACACAAAGTGTTCAATACAAGGCTGGGTACAACGAGTGTGGACAGTGGGTAGAAAAGGAAAGAATAATGAAAAACAGGACAACACATGGTGTGGCTGCAGAGCCAGCTGGGAAGTCAAAGGCCATAGGACACTAATGCCTATTGTATTAGAAACCCATGGGCAGAAGTTGAACATGTCAGTGACAGACAAGGTGTCCTTTGGACCAATAGGGCTATACACTGGGGCTTGAGGAGGAGTACATGGGATGATGTGGGGGAAGTGAGGTAGGAGGAACATGGTGCTCTATGTGTTCAGAGCCTGGGCACAGATGGCAAAGTGGAGAGAAGTTAGGCAGGTTGTCTAGGTTGTGCCTTAAGTGCCCACCGATGAATCCGGAGACCTCCTGGGAGACATTAAGTAAGCAGGGAGGATCAGGCAGACAACTTCAGGACCTTAAAGGTGGGCAAAACTCAAGGCAAAGAAAAGGAATGGCTGGGGCACAACCGCCATAGGCTTACCCAGGCCTAGTTCCACTTCATCAGCTGCGAGCTCAAAGGTGGGCTTGGAGCCAGGGACACTGCAGGAGGACAAGCTCACCCCCAGGGTACCTAGGGAGAATGAAGCATGAGCCAGGGATACTGCAGGAGGACAAGCTCACCCCCAGGGTGCCTAGGGACAATGAAGCATGTTGGCAGCAGGTGTCAGGATGTGAGCAGGCTGCCCAACTCTTCATCTTAGGGATGAAGAGAGTCCAAAGTCTGGTACCTAAGGCTTCCAGGCTCCAGGGCCTCCACAGGGGACCTTCCCCCAGCCTCTAGGGAAACACAGGAAGGCTTCTGGTATAGCTGGTAGGAGCCTGCTCTGAATCCCCAGGTCTGCCACATCCTCCCATCCTTGGAACTGGTACTCACCCATGGCCTTGGCGACCAGGCTCACCCGCTTTGCGATCTCCTCCAGCCCCACACCTTCCTCAGCCAGAGCACCTGCCACCTGTAGCCACCCAGAGAGAAAGAGAACGAGGATGGTGGGTGGAGAGTCACTGGATCACTGGGAGCAGAAGAGAGGCTGGGAAGAACTTTCTTGTTGGGAGGGAGAATCTCAGGATTTCTACACTAAATGTGGTCCAGCACATTTAGGGTAGAAGAACGTCCTCTCCTTATTTACAGCATAGCTGCTGGGAGTCTTCAAGAGTTTCTGTTTGGGGAAGAGGGTGTGGATCCATGGTAGGTTTGCCTGGCATGCATAAAGCACATTCCCAGCAAAACACATACACATATTGTCATTCTCTCTCTCCCTCCCTCCTTCCCCCCCACTCCAGTCTAGTGGAGCCAGAATGAGAAATGATCCTAGATAAGGCGGCAGGTGATTTGTTCAGGTCAGTGTCACACAGCTGTTGCTGATCAGTTTCCTGATTCCTAGATCTCCTTCGTCCAGAGCGCACACTTTAGCTCCATTTACTTATCCCATTCATTCATCCACCCTCTTACTCAGTTCACCAACAATCTACTGAGCTGGAAAGAAAAGAGGAAGACTTGCTTTCAAGGATCTCGGAGTCTGAAGAAGAGAAGCAGGGACACACATTTAAAGTTAACTCAAGATGGCACATGGATCAGGAGGCTGAGAGAACTCTGAGAAAGGCTTCTCAGTAGCTCAGGGTGCTGAGATCAGGAAGAGGACCACATGGAACATGTCAGGACTGAGCCAGGACACAGAAGGCTGACCAAATAAAAGATTTTGCAGGGACAGATATGGCGTACATAAAGCCACAGAGGTGAGCTCCAGCCCAACAGATACAGGGAGAGCCCTGTGTTTATGGAACATACGGGGAAAGAAGGGGTGCTGGGCAGTGAAGTCAGGACTGATGAGGTGGGACAGGAGTGTGGTGATGAATGGCTAGGGAGGTAGCTCAGTGGTTAAAAGTACTTGCTGCTCGTTCAGAGAATCTAGGTTCAGTTCCCAGCACCCACATGGCAGCTCACAACTGTCTGTAACTCCAGTTCTAAGAGATCCAATACCCTCTTCTGGCCTCCCCTGGAACTGGAGTTATAGTTGTGACCTACCATGTGAGTGATGGCAACGAATCCCAGGTCCTCTGCAAGAGCAGTCAATGCTCCTAACTGCTGAACCACCTCTCCAGCCTCAAATAAATAAAAGGAGTGTAGTGGGCACCCCCAACCAAGGGGTTTGAGTTGACTATGGGAATCCAAGATGCTCTCAGTGAGATGAAAATTGGGCACAATACACATTTTTGTTGTTGTTTTGACACACGGTCTCACTATGTTGTCTAAGCTAGCCTCAAGTTTAAAATCTTCCAGTCTTAGCCTCCTGAGCGCTGATCAATATGCATTTTAAAAAGACACCCTGGGGATAGTGTGGGCAACAGACTGGCAAGGCAGGAGTGCAGTACACAGATACAGGAGCCCAGTGGGAAGGTAAAAGCCGTGATGCAAAGTGAAGAACAGGATATGAGGAGGATCCATGCTGCTCCGGGAGACGTGTGAGGAAGGGGCAACTGATTAGGAGAGGGAGGAGGAAGGAAAGGGAACTGGTCTACGAGAATGCCTCATTCTATCTAGACTTAATGGCTGAGACAATGGTGGGGACTTGGTAGGTCAGGGTAAAGAAATGACTGGGGCCTCGGGGTGCCAGGGTTTGGAGGCTAACCTTGTGGATAAGCACGGTGCCACACAGGCCACGCCGGCCGGCCTTCTTCAGAACAGTGAAGGCACTGTCATCCCCGATCACCACCATCTCCACAGAGATGCCCTCGGCCCTGGCCTGCTCCACGGCAAATCCAAAGTTGAGTCGATCCCCAGTGTAGTTCTTCACGATGAGGAGGGTGCCCGCTGCAGGAGCAGTAACGTGGTACCGTTAACCTTGCCCCCACCCACCCCACAGTGCCCATCCACAGCATTTTCTCCAATATGCAAACCTGACCTGTGCCTGCCTGGGCCACAGCTCTAATGGCTGCCAGGATGCTGCCCACAGCTGGAGAAGCAAACACGGATCCTACAATGACCCCGGTCAGCATTCCCTTCCCGATAAAACCTGGAGATGGAGAGAGGTAAGGCTGCTGGGTAGCATCTACACCTGTTATCCCTGGGGCTTCCCGCATTCTGAGCTCCTACTGTGTGCTTGTGCTATGGCTAACCCTTCCATAGGAGTCATCTTGGAGGGTTCCCCTGACTTCCAACCTTAAAGAACTCTGTCCCCTCCCACCATTTTCTGGTCTTCCTCCTGTTCTTTTTACATAAAGCTTTTGAAAAAAGATTTCCTGAGTATTTTGCAAGTGTGTGTATGTGTGTGTATGTACCACGTGTGAGCCTAGTCCCCATGGAGGTCATAAGAGGGCAGAGGGTCCCCTGAAACTGGTTACAGATGGTTGTGAGCTGCTATGTGGATGCTGGGAACTGAACCCGGGTCTTCTGCAAGAGTAACAAGTGCTTTTAAGCACTGAGTCATCACTCCTGCCCCTCATTGTACATTCTATTGTATGTTAAATCCCTTAAGGCTCTCCGAACTGCTCTTACTCACATCTGTCTTCCTGGAGTGGGGCATTAAAGTTTCACAGGGGCAGGGTCTTGCTGACTCCCAGGTGTGCTCTGTATAGGGCCAGCTGTACGGCAGGTACACCAGGTGTGCTCTGTATAGGGCCGGCTGTACGGCAGGTACACCAGGTGTGCTCTGCATAGGGCCGGCTGTACAGCAGGCTCGCTAATACGTGCTGGATGAATAGACGGAATACTGAGATGGACAGGAAAGGTGCAGATGACACAAGGTCTGAGCCCTGGGGAAGGCTCCTAACGAGGCTCATATCCCTGGCACCAAACAGGAAGTCAACTAGGATGGTTCAAGGGTAGGAAAAGACATGGTAGAGATGCTGATGAATCCTGCTTTGGGCTGGCAGAGTCAGGGAAGTTTCATGGAGGTGCTGGGTCAGGAGGATTGGAAAAAAAGGCAAGGAAGACTTTTGCAATCACCAACTTCTTAGGCTGGGAGCGCCTCACAGATTATCTGGCTCAACCCTGCATTTCTAGAGCTGTAACAATTTAGATGCAAAGACAGGCTGTGACTGACCTTGGGGCAGCCAGGAGTGGGAGGATGGAAACTGGGCACATTCCTAACTCTGGCCTCAGCATTGTCTGTCTGGCACCTCATACTAGCACAGAGAATCTCCCAGGATCCCTACTCTGCTCTGGCCTGTAACCCTCACAATCAACACAAGATACTCACCGGCATGGGCAGGCTCATGGCCTGAACCTCCACCTGAAAGAAGTGCCACCCGGCCTTTGAGGCTGTCCAGGTCAGAACGCAGGGCCACACGGTGCCCTTGCAGGAGCTGCAGGTTAGGATTACAGGCCACTAACCCAGCAAGGGCATCATCAGCACACAATTCCACCGAGTTCACCAGCTTTTTGGAGGTCTGTGGAGGAGAGCAAGAGGAAGTTCAGAGTGTGGTCAGCAGGGACCCTCATCCTGCCCAGCAACACTGCTGCGCTACATTTCCTCGGGAATCTCATGTTGGGGGAAAGGAATTACAGAAGTCGCTGAGGGATTCCGAGGACACAGTATACCTTGCATTGTTTTGTTACCAGGTGGATATGCCTGTGACTTCTCAACTTTCAACTTTTTATCCAGTGCCTAATTTATAAGCCTTTTGTACCATGGTTTCTGTATATCCCGAGAAACACTGTCAATGAAAAGCAATTGGGGGAGTTTATGTCTTCACCAGGAAAAAATAATGAAGTTGGGGCACTGCCTGTTTCTGTCAGAGGAGGAGGTAAGCTTTAGGCTGAGACTCCTGCGATGGAGGAAGGGCATGAGCAGGCCCACAGCCATCAGCAGCTACAATTAGGCTTTACATGTTCCATCTGGATCTCTCATGCAGCGTGGCAGTACCCAGTGCTAGGCCCTGCATATTCAGAGAGCAGAATGCTATTCCTGCCCTCCATGGGATCACGAGTATCATTTTTTAAAAAAGATTCATTTATTTATTATGTATACAGTGTTCTGTCTGCATGTATACCTGCAGGCCAGAAGAGGGCACCATATCTCATTACAGATGGTTGTGAGCCACCATGTGGTTGCTGGGAATTGAACTCATGACCTCTGGAAGAGCAGTCAGTGCTCTCAACCGCTGAGCCATCTCTCCAGCCCCACGAGTATCATTTTTACATGCTATGTGAGAGCGATACATATGTGCATGGCAGCACAGAAGAAAGGGACCTCAATCTCCTGAAGGGACCCAGGAATTCTTTATGAAGAATAAGTAGGAAATATGTAGTAAGCATTGGGACGAGGGGTGGGGACTACTCTGGGCAAAAGGAAGCATAAGCCAAGACATGGAGGTGTATGATAGACCAGTGGCTCCAAGAAGCATCAGCGTGACCCAAGCAACATGGGGCTGGCAGGAAGAGGTAGGCAGAGACCTCACAAAGCACAAGAGGAATCTTGTTAAGGGAGTGATTCGGGTCAGAGCCTCAGCTCTGCTAGCCCTAACTAGATGCAGCTAAAAGTCCTCAATAGGCCAATTAAAGAAACAGCAGTAAAGAGCAGAGAAAGGAGATTTAGTCAATGTGCACTCGCTGGGAAGAGGAGCAAATAAAGTCCAGTGACTCCCCCTCTCCAAGTCTGTCCTCAGGGGACTGACTTCAAGAGAGAGCAAGAGGTATGAATACTCTAGCAGTTCTAGCTGGGTGTGGTAGCACGTGCCTGTGATCCTCGGGCTGGAGGGTTGAGAATTCAAGGTTAGCATCAGCTAACAAAGTACAAAGTTTGAGGCCAGCCTGAGTTACAGGAGACCCATGTATCCCAGTCACATAACAACTGAAACAAAACTGGTGGTGTTGGTGCACACCTTTAATCCCAACACTCAGGAGGCAGAGGCAGGTGGATCTCGAGGTCAGCCTGGTCTACAGAGTTGAGTCTCAGCACTACAAGGTCTACAGAGAGTAATCCTGTTGGAAAAACTAACAAAACAAACAAAACCCCACAAAGAACAACAACAAACAACCCTTAAACAAAAAGCCTAGCCATTCCTGATCAAGGTGTGGGTCTGCCCATCACTGACCCTTCACTCTCTGCTCTTGTTTTTCTGGCAAGGTGATCTGAAACATTGTCAGAACTGTGTGAGATCTCTTCCTCGCAGTTTCTCATGACTAGCACCAGGGCTTTAGTCTTTATCATTCCCCAGCATGAGATTCCTGGGAAAATTCCAATTTCTGGGGGGGAGGGTATTGTTTTAACAGTCTGCTATCTAATAGTTGGGGGAGGGGTGTGCAACTGTCTCTCTTTAGAATGTCTTTCTCCCTGACAGGGCAGTTACCCTGTGATAAGTTAGGTCATGCTTAGGAGGGAGGTTAAAGGCTGGCCTAAGAACTCCAGAGACTGAGTCTTTACGGGGAGTGCAGCCAGAAGGGAGCGATGTGGGACTAGGGTAGTTGGGAGCTCGGACTCTACAGTCACTGGGACTTGGTATCAAAGTCCACTCCTGCCTGTCATTAGCTATGAGAACTCAGGGAGGACACATCTGTTCTGGGCTCAAGTCTTCCGCTGTGAAACAGCGATTTACTGGAGTAGAGCTTGGACCAGCGGTATGGAAAAAGCTCACTGAAAAGGACCTATAGTCCCTTTTGTGAAGAGGCTTTGAAAAGCTGGAGCTAGCTAAGCAACGGCTGTGGGGTTGGGACGCAGCGCCCTGCCTTTGTCCTCGGGAGGCACAGGAAGAGTAGAACTCAAAGTGGAGCCTGAGGAGGCTGCTGGTGCCACCTACTGGTCTGCAGCTGGCCCAGGTCCCTGCAAAGTGCACTTCCTGCCTCCTTCCTGAACCTGCCACTACCCAGTTGTAAAATGGAACGCTGACGTCCCCTGCCAAGCTTTCCTCCAATTAACAAGGGCCCAGGCCTTAGCACCTGCTTAAGGGTGAGGGCAGTAGTCCGGGTCAATAGGCAGCAAGCAGAATAAGATGGGCTCCATTTCTTAGGCATTAAGAGCCAGACTATTTCGAAGTTTTTAGTAACATGTGCAGTTCCCCAATGACCACTTGGAGGAAAGATGAGCACAAAGAGGAGCCTGAAGCACAACAAACGATGGTGCTGAAAGTTACACAGCCGGCAAGGGCCTGGAGCTGCCCGCTTCATCTCAACCGCCTGCTGCTTTCCCAGACACAGGGTGCCAGAGCTCTCGTCCTAAGAAAGGCACAGTGTTGGGAAGGAGGGCCCGCTGCATCCTGTAAAGTTGTGTATTGTATCAACTCCAAGCCTAGTCCCCAGCACCACCGCCCTTCCAGAGAGTCCCAATCATCCCTGCACTAGAGCCATTCCTGTTTCTCGGTAACACCAGGGAAGGAAAAGTAAGAAAGGGGAGGTACGATGTGAGGCCACTAAGATTCTAGTCTGAGCCACACACACAGCAACGTGGTAGCAGGTCTTAATCAGCCACACTGCAGATGGGGGTGGGGGAGAGGAGAGGCTCAGAGAGGGCAAGCCTTCTGCCTAGTAGTAACACAGGTGATGGGAGTGAGGCTGAAATCTGAACCCTAATCTGCTGAAGAGCACTTTTAAAACTGAGCCCAGGGGCATTGTGAGCCTCCCATACAGCATTTCTCTGCTCTGGGAGCAGCCCACACATGCCTGGGCTGAGGAGCAGACACCAGATTGTTCTTTCCGGTCCCTGTCCCTCCCCGCCCCTCCCCCCGACTAGTAAGGCAACTTATGACAGCAAGTAACTTGTTGTTCTGATCTAAATGCATGCCTGAGATCCTAGCTGTAGAGGTTTCAGAGTGCCTCGGGCCAGCCTCAGACCTGGCTTGGCCCAGTGGCCTGCAGGAAGGGGAATGGGGATCAAGCCTGAAGATACAAACTGAAACTCTTGACTTCTGAACCCCAGCAGACAGAGCATCTCAGTTGGGAATAGGGAGATTCAGGGTGCCCAGAGAGAGGATCCCCATGGTCCTCCTTTTACTGTAGTCCCCCCCCCCCCCCAGGACTCACCATGGTTGGGAGGCTCTGAAACAGCTGAGCTCACACTTCTGCTCTGAGCTGCGGGAGGGTGGCCAATTGAGTGCTAACTGGTCTCAGGTGGAGGCAGTGGCAGCACCTGCAGCGGCGGGAAGGACTTGAGCTGTGGAAGGCCCTGGCAGTCAACTGGCATAATCATGCTTCCAGTGCCTTAGGAATTAGGGAGCTGCCTCAGACTTTGATCCAAGTCCAAACTCTAATACATGGGCTAGGGATGGAGAGCAGCGTGGGCCTGGCCAAGGTTCACACCCACACTTGGCCCAAAGGCAGATCAACTCATGTTGGGCACAGGGTTGCCACTTTGCCTGGGAGCAGCACCCACTCCTTCATCAAGGAGCAAAGTTACCCACAGATAGTGTCATATCTTACATGGCTATCACTAACGGTAAAGATGTACAAAGATCTTCACCTTGCTGGCTGGCCACACCAGGATCAAGCCAGCCCCGTGACCTTATTTTACTTTGGGAACACCCACTGAAAGCTCTAGTGAATTGTCCAAGATTTTACTGGTAAAAGGCAGGTCTTGAGCCCACATCTAGTCTTATTACAAAGCCTAATTAATGTTCCTACTGGTCATCCAGTTCTCAGTCAGGCAGAGTCCGAGCTAGGGAAATCGGAGGTATAAATCACTCCAGTTAGACCTAGCTCCACCCATCTCTGCCTCAACTTACTAGGGAGACTTTTAGTTAAACTGATCTCCTTAGGTCTCAGCTTCTCCTATAAAATAATAGTTTGATCCTCGCTGGCATTTTGCAGATGCTTCCGGCCTCGTCTGCTGCTCCTTGTGGGGGTGGGGACGTGGAGGTTGTCTGATAAAGCCTGGGGTCTAGATCTGCAGAGCTGACTGCACTGGCCACCTGGGTCATTAAGGCTCTTGCTATGAAATGCCGGCGTTGTGTTTGCGTTGGGAATTTGTTTCCCAATAGGGACAACTAATAGTGCCGGCAGGTGATCTAGGTAGAGGGCCCTTTCATGATGGTTGTTCTAAAGTCAGTTGAGGGCATTCGAGGGAACTGGAGGAGCTGGAAGAGTTAAGCAAAAATAAAGCGCGGTTCTAGTCTGGGATGTACACAGATCTTTGTCACCTCTCTTCCTTTTCTAGTCCTCCGCAACCCCTCCGGTTCCAAACGGGAGAAAACAACCCCGAGGACTCCTGGAGCTATGGAGGAGGGAAAGAGGCAGAATTGAGGAAGGAAGGGGCGCGGACTGGAGAAAGGAGCCAGCAGGCGGGCTCTGAGTGCACGGCGGGTGTCGAAGGACCGTCCCGGACTAGCGGAGCCCGGTCTTGTCTGCGTACCCGAACCGGCGCTCTCATCCGGGTACTGCTGCTCCTGGCGGTAAGGAAAGGGCGGAGCCTCAGGGGCGGGACGTCGCTTGGTTGGCCGCCTCGGGCTCCGTAAGTCCTCCAAGAGGCCAGGTGAGGCCATCCCGTGATCCTCCGCGCCCGGCCTCTCTGGCCTGCAACGTGTCTAGGGGCGGAGGCAGCGGCCACGGAGTTGGCTGCGTGAGGGTGGGGGTTCTCAGTCTCTTCGCTCGTGCCCATATCTCTAGCGTCGCTCTAGGCTCCCCACCGGCCAGCCCAAGGCCTCAACATGTCTTACAACTACGTCGTAACGGCGCAGAAGCCTACCGCAGTGAACGGCTGTGTGACCGGTGAGGCTGCCCTGGCCGGAGACCCCGGCGAGGGAGGGAACCCAGGCCTAGGGAGGCTGGCGGCCCCAGGGGCGGCAGGAACAAGGCTTGGGCCCGGGGAATGGAAGGCGCTGGTAGCCGCGGAACGTCCCTCTCAGCTCGCGGCCTTAAAGGAGCTGTTTCGCCACGCGCCTTTTGGGCAGTGCAAGCTGTTTTTGAGGGTCCCTTTTGCTCATGGGAGGTCACTTAGCTTTGAGAAACGGCCCAGGCCCGGTGGGACAGAAGGTGTGCATGCTGATTGAGCCTCGAAACTGGCCTCATGTGGGCAGGGGAAAGGGGGAGATAATAATGGGGGCTTGGAATCAGAATTTTCCGGTGGTTGTGCGGGAGGTGGAGGAATTTGAGTTATTTCTGCACCCCCCTCAAAAGGGTGAGCAGCCCTCTCCAGACCCACCCTTTTGCCTGGGGGGAGGGTTGTTTACTCGAGGGCGCTGCTGGAGAACGAGGTTTGGTTGGCCAGCCAGTGTGCAGGCTCTGCCTTGTTTGTGTGCATGGCTCTAGATGGGCAATCACACCCCCAACCAAAGAATATTCATCCTCAACTCATATTTCCCTTTGAATGTTCAGTCCTCAAACTCGTGTGTTTATATAAATGCTAATCATGATTTCATAACAAAAGTTCCTTGTTCAGAGAGCTAAGAGTGGATTGCTTAGGAAGCAAAGGGGTGTGTAGACAACACAGAAAGCTCTGAGAGTTTTTCTTCACTTTATCTTTCTTGCGAAGGTTCTGGGAGGCTTTGGATGAGAACTCAATGAGACACACCTTTTAGCCATCAGCTTCAATTATTGTCTGCTGTTCTAATTTAGAAAGGAAACCCCAACAGAACCATCAGAAGGGTTTTCGTGTTTATAACCTGTTGAGACAGGCTGTTGCCCATTATATGGTACTTTTTTTTTTTTTTTTTTCGAGACAGGGTTTCTCCGTAGCTTTTGGTTCCTGTCCTGGAACTAGCTCTTGTAGACCAGGCTGGCCTCGAACTCACAGAGATCCGCCTGCCTCTGCCTCCCGAGTGCTGGGATTAAAGGCGTGCGCCACCACCGCCCGGCTTTATATGGTACATTTTTTTTAAAGCCTAATTAAGGATGTATTTTGTTGAATGTGAAGTGAGATATTGAGGTGCTGTGTTTGGTGAGGAGGCAAGGTAAAGGTACTTAGGTAGCCTTAAGAGGTACTGGAAAGACCCATCCTCCAGCTTCCAAAGTTAGAGGCTCTCTTCTTTCAGGACACTTTACTTCTGCGGAAGATCTGAACCTGTTGATTGCTAAAAACACAAGATTAGAGATCTATGTGGTCACTGCAGAAGGCCTTCGGCCAGTCAAAGAGGTGGGCATGTATGGGAAGATTGCAGTCATGGAGCTTTACAGGCCCAAGGTAAGTGCTCTTAGTTGGGGCAGACAATGAAAGAACCTTTAGTTGTGTGTTTTATATGATTCTTTGGGGTGACGGCTTAAGTAGAGAAGCACTCTTTTGCAAGTTTCCTATAAGGAGAGGTTTATAAGGAGGAAAACTCCCAAGTTGGTTTCTTTTTTTTCTTTTTCTTTTTTTTCTTGAGACAGGGTTTCTCTGTAGTCCTAGCTGTCCTGGAACTTGATTTTTCAGACCAGGCTGACCTTGAACTCACAGAGCTCTGACAAGCGCCTCTACCTCCCACCACCCAGCCATAACCGGTTATCTTAACAGTTTCGCCATCACAACTAGAACGATTGTGAAAACAGTGTTTTTGAGGACCAAGGTAGTAAGACTTTGGAGATCGACTGCAGATTTAAATGTTACTACAGATTTTTCTCTCCAAATACTTTGGTGAGGGAGAAACATTGCATTTTTCTTTCAGAATTTGAACTGAGTAAGATGAATTTTAGGTTAGAATAGATGAGAACCTCTTGTTTACAGAGCCTAGAGATGGAGAACTGTGATAGCAAGGACTAGATGTTTACCAGCTTCAGTCTGGCCTTTTGTACAGCCCCTTAGGGCTTGTGTGAGCTTTTGTCCTGTAACAGGCGCACTGAGTGTTTTCTCGGTGGGGACAGTCGGCTTTGGAAAGTCCTTTAAAGGCATAGCATGCTTAAGGAATGTTTAAAAGGCTGGGCAGGTTGTTCCTGTTTTTGAAAGACCTTCTTTTGACCCTAAAATGTTGGATTTCAGGGGGAGAACAAAGACCTGCTGTTCATCTTGACTGCTAAGTACAATGCCTGCATCCTGGAGTATAAGCAGAATGGCGAAAGCATTGACATCATTACAAGAGCCCATGGCAATGTCCAGGTGAGGTGGCTACTTTAAGATGATCAATTTTTCTGGTAGGGCTGTCAGGTTTCAGTGATGAACAGTGAAATGTCAGGGCATCGCACTATAATGAGAGAAACAAGTAAGCCCACATGGCTTGAATTGCCTAGCTAGTCCAAGGAAAAGTGAATAACTCACCTAGCCACTCATGAGAAAAACAAATGTGTTGGTGTTTGGGCTACCAAACTATGTCAGGTGCTCTCATCTGCCTGGGAAAGCATTGTACCCACCCAGTATCTTCTGCTTTGACTACTGAGCTTCTTCCCTAATTCCAGGGGTTTTTCCCCCCACAGGACCGTATTGGTCGCCCCTCAGAGACTGGCATCATTGGTATCATTGACCCTGAGTGCCGAATGATTGGCCTGCGACTCTACGATGGCCTTTTCAAGGTCATTCCCCTGGACAGAGACAACAAAGAGCTCAAGGCCTTTAACATCCGCCTAGAAGAATTGCACGTCATTGATGTCAAGTTCCTGTATGGTTGTCAAGCACCTACCATTTGCTTTGTCTACCAGGTACAGGACCCGAGGAAAGAGGGAGAAACTGGTTTGGAATGGTGGGAGTGGGATTTTTGCCAAAGGAATGTCTGCTGAATTTGGTAGCAGGGCAGGGAGAAGTGTTGCTTATTTTCTAAAACATTTGACCAAAACAGTTAATGTGGGTCAGATGTTTTTTTCCTTTTTTGCTTTTTTGGGTGTAATAGTATTGGGATCAGCAAATGCTGCTGGGTTTATAGCAGGTTTTAATCCGGAGATTGTACTCCAGTTGTAGGCCTTGGGGATTTTATAGAGTGACCTAGTTTATCCTTTGAGTCTCTTACCAGTATGCTAGAGGATTATAAAAACTTGGCTGTAGAGAAATGATTCAGAACTTGCCTTTACAAGCCAAGAGAAAATACCTTGGGTAGTGCCTTACTTTAGTCTTTGAAAGAGGTTCACATGTTGTCTAGCACTCTCTTTCTGGTGACTTGCTGGCTCTTGACTTCTATTTTAGTCAGTGCCTAAAACTTTAGCAGAGCTGATCCTGGGCAGCTGTTCTCTAGTTCAGATTTGTTAAGTGGGGGTAGGGCACAGACATCCAGACTAACATGCCTACATCTTGGTAAAATCTCAGCCTTTAACAAAGGGCCAGGCTACATGAGGTCAGGTTACTTGCCTATGGTCCCCTAAATGACAGAAGAAATAGATGGTCTACTTCCATGCTGGATGGTAGAGTATAATGCACCTGAGAACACTTACATAGATAGCCCTGCAGAGTAATGGAAATATGGTATGTGGTATTTTATGTTTTTGGTATCACCATAATGCTATAGTCCTGAGACTGATTAACGTAAGGTTGAGTAAAGCTGAAACTAGTTGAGGTTAATTTTATTTATCTTACTTATTAACTATCAGAACTGAGATAAAAAAAAACCTTCGAATTTCTTTTCTTTTTTCAGTTTTTATAAATATCAGGTCATTAAAACAATGTTGTTGATTACATGGGGCTGATTCTGGCCCTGGCTGTTCCCAGGCCAGGGATGCCACTTGTGAATGCTCTTCATTTCTCTCTGTGTCTCAGAGGCCCAAATCCATCTTCACTTGAACTTTTTGTGAAGATGGATGGAAAAGTTTATCAACTAAAAGTGACTGACTATGCCAGCAGTTGAGTACTAGGTGCCTTCTGTGAAAGGTGCTTTGCTAAGTACTTCACAGTGGCTGAGGTGTGCTCTTGCGTTGGAACATGTTAAATTCCTTCCATGGTTTCTTAGACTTTGGTCTGAGCTTGATTGAAGCCATCTTCTGTTGGCTGAATGTCGTTTTCTCCCCTGCTCTTTAGCCTCTTAAACGTGACTCTGGCAGCTCCGAGACTGATGTGAGTCATGATTCCAAAAAAGGAGGGGAGCCGGGCGGTGGTGGCGCACGCCTTTAATCCCAGCACTCGGGAGGCAGAGGCAGGTGGATCTCTGTGAGTTCGAGACCAGCCTGGTCTAAAAGAGCTAGTTCCAGGACAGGCTCCAAAACCACAGAGAAACCCTGTCTCGAAAAACAAAAAACAGGGGAAGAGTCACGATTCAGAAAAAGGAGAGGAAGATGGAGTTGACAGTGGCGGGTCTGAAGCATTTTTTGACTACCTTTAAGGGAGCAATAAGTTCTGTTGTCTCTGCGGTCACTTCTTCAGAGTACTCTTGAGAGTTGTGTCAAAACAGGGTCTGGGTAGATAGCTCAGTGGTTAAAGAGCTTGCTGTGTGAGCACTTAGATCAGAGTTCTTATCCCCAGCACCCATGGAA